CTCTGTGTTGAAAGCTGGAAATTGCTAAAGAACTTTCGGAATTACTCTCTCTGATACATTGAGGTATCTGCCATAAAAATCTCATGGGAAGATACCTATATTGAAGACCATATAAATTGATGCACTAACTTCCTGTCAATTTCGCCTTATTGTTTGAGCATGTTAGACATTCTACCACGACAAAAGGGTAATAAATGGATTGGTTGGTGATACAAGTAATAATGTTTGAGCTTTCGTCTCTTTTCTGGTGTTGTGCAGTTCATTGGTCTGCTAGAAGATCACCCTAAGCTACTATTAACTAGAGTAAGTGTGACGTATCGAGGGAAGAATCTGTACATGCAAGCACCACCAGTACTGGAAGAGATGACTCGATCGAATTTGGATTTACCATTGTTTGAGCTTATGAGCAGAACTCCAAGGGACATTGTTCATGTTACTGGTACAGCCGGAAAAGGAGATACAAAGCAATCATGTTCAAGGAAATTACGTGTTGTTTTCAAGGGAATTGATGGAGTTACAGATATGGACATGGCTGGTGGAGCTTAATTTTCAGTTATCCATTAGCCTTTTACTTGTTTCTGGTAAGCCTACTTCTTCTTTCCTTCCTCTAATTTTTCTCTAGTTCAACGCATGAGCAAAATGCAGTAACTGACGAGGTTGATAGGGAATACCTCCATTTTTGTAACTCTTTCTTATCATGTGGACGTAAAAATTGGTGAATTATCACCAACATGTGAAATGAAATGAGAGAGTTCTACAATTCGTAATCTTTACTTGAAATTTGTCAAAATACTTTAACTTCAGATCAATATGATACTAATTTTCTTCATTGCTTCTCAAAATTATCTGCTATAGACGCGATCAAGCATAGGCAACTAATATAGGTAAGAAATCGCCAAGTTGAATGGAGAAATTGCTGTTATTGCAGTACTTGGCTGATGCTTCTTAACTGTTTAATCCTAAAGCCGTGATTATTCAACTCTTATATGCTGGGTGGATGGTCTATTGATTGCTGAGGCACAGGCACCTTCTCTATGCTTGTTATTGGATCGTTTTTTCGTTTCATTTATACGTTTGTATGTATCGTAAATCTCCTTTTTAGATAGTCTAAAGACTGAGTTGAGCTGCAGACCCTCTTTGTACATACTTTTGACAGCCTCGGGTTTAAAAAATAGTACTCCGTACTAGTAATGATGATAATGAGCTGCTCGACTTCTATCTTATCGATTCATAGAAGAAGTGTTAAATGAAAGAGTAAATGATTTGTCATAAAAGGGGGAAGACGAAGCTGTTGACCTTGGACAGGTATAATTGGACANAAAGGAAGGGGACATTTGGAAGGGTGGTGGTGATAAGTATGTGATCTTGCAATTGTCTCCAGTCGAACATTCTAATCCGACAAATCTGGAAAAGAAATAGATCTAAAAATGGATTTCGAGATCTGTTCTATTTTAATGTTTCTTTCTTGCAATGTTACTTGTCATAAAGACAACACATGGTTTTGCAGATACACCAGACAGTGATACTAAAGCCTCTCAGAACCAATCACTTATGCAATTGCTTCTTGCTCCCACAATAGGGTGGGGTCTTTATTGCTCTTTAGCCAGCGATTCTTGTGGTATGGTGGTCACATACACTCATAATTCACTAGTTTTTTAGTTGTATGCATAAATGTGTCCACTGCAATATGACTAACCTTAAAGAAACGAGTTATCTGTCACATTATTGAAAATCATGAAGAAGATTCAGACAGACAGTTATTTAATCGGTTAAGATTAAGATATACATATAGTTCTACTTTATCGTTTGCAATCCATATGTAAGTGGAAGATCAGCTTCCACTCCACTAAGGACCCTGCTTTTCAAGGTTTTGAGCGCTCGAGGAGGTGCGTTTATTACCATTAGAGTATCTCACATTAGTCGAGAGAATGTGTTGTCTCCTTATTACCGCTTTTGGAGTTGAATCAAATCCAAAGTTCATCTTCTTTTCATGGCGGTAGAGCCAAGGCCAGTCTTATCCATGTTATGTTATTCACGCTCAAGAGTGTATGACCCAAAATTTAGATCTAGGTTGTTATACAATTAGATTTATAGTGAAAATGGTTAATCTAAGTCACTATTAATATCCAAATGATAGATCTGGTACATTTATGGAGAATACCGCACGTGTGTCGTTAGGTAACACTATTTTTGAGTAATAAATGATTCAAGAGTATGAAAGGAAGCAATAAATAACAATAAATGACATTTAAATAAATAAATGAATATGAGTCACCCGACAAAGGTGAGGTTTCCTACTGATTCTTCTGACTATGATGGATAATGATAAGCCTTTGAATATTTCGATTCTTCTTGGATCGGGGAAGAAAAGATAGATAAAGATGTAAAAAGGTAAACTTTGTACGCGTATGATAAAGAGAGAATCTTCAGAGAATGTCAATGTATTGTTCTTTACAAAAGGTGTCCAATCCCCTCCTATAACTACATATCTTCCTATTTATAAGGGTACATGAGTCACGAAACCCTAGATAGTACAACTGGGAGGAATATTCACTGGAATATTATCTAGGGAATAGTAATCCTAGAACTAGCCGTTACTGCTCTCCGAAAAGGAGTACTCGCCCTCGTTCTCGTCTTTTATCGAGTCACTTCGACCTTGTCGACGACCTTCTATCTTCTTGTGACGTCGACCCTTTGAAATCAGGTTATTGTATCCTATTAACGACACGTGGCAGCCTCCGAAGGCTTCATTCATGTTGACCTAGTCAAAATGTAACATAATGTTTTTCGCCCATACAGTTAGTCCCTCCGCTTGTTGAGGTCGTCTTCATGGGCGAGTTCAATAAGCGGATAACAACGGTCATGATCGTTGTGAAAAGCGAGGGACATGGCACTTCGAGGATCACATATTTCAAAATCTAAATCTTCCTGGGTGATTTAATGGAACTATCATGTACCGGAAAAGATGTGACGTCATGACGTCATTCGTCATGTTAACGTATGTTCCCAATACGTTGTGTAAGCGTGACCTTTGATTGGTTCTGCTGTTTCGATTTTGGTTGCAATCATGATGAGCCGTTTTAGATTCAGTGCTTCTTCTCTATAAATAGCAAGTGTTTCACCATCATTCAAGTTTTACCTCCCTTAGAATCGCTTTTGCTTTCTCTTGTTTCTCTAGATTACCATCCCTGGATTTTTTTCTTATCTTCTTAGTTTTTTTCTCTAATCTTCCTTAAACTCCAAAGCCATGTCAAATTTAGCTTCTGGTATTAATGAGGAGACTCAGCCTGTCCCACCGACTGTTGTGGTTCCTATTCGCTGGGGAGACGCCACCTCCACCGTTAAAAAGGAGGTTCTCCCTTCAGTGGAGGAGATTATCCCCCGCAACCCTAATGATAGACCCAATTTGCAGCGGCCGCTGGAGGTAGTGACTGAGGTTTTCTAACCCTCTTTGACGGCTGCTTAGCGGAATTCAAAGTCAAATATGACATCCCCAATCAAGTAGAACTTATACATGCAGGCGAGGCGAAGTGGATACCCATCACCCATGATATTGCTCTCTCTACGCCTATTCCTTCACAATTAGTTACTCTCTTCCTCTCCCACCTCTAGTGGAGGAATTCTGCCGTTACTACCAGGTATGCCCGACCCAGCTCGCCCCATATGTATTCAAGGTTATTAAAATGTTATCGAAGTCCACCGAGCTGGCTGGCGTTGAGATCGCGGTACGACATTTAATCCATCTGTTCACCTCCAGCTTTTACCGAGGCACGATGCTGAACCTATGACATCGTGGAGGCAAGTGTTTGGTGGTTAAAATGGATGACAAAGGTAGTCGACAGTTTTGGTTGGACTTCTTCTTTGTCAAGACCGAGGCCGTGAGGCCTAGAACTGCACCTGCAAGTATTTGTATTCTCGCTTTTACCTTTTTTTAAAATAGTCGTTCATTTCGAGTTTGTGGAATAATCCTTCTTGTTTTGTAGCTATTGATTGACCTCTTCACTTGGTGGCGCATCTCGCTGACTGGGTTAGACAAGTCCTCCTTTGCACCGTAGGGATCTGTGACTGGCCGAGCTTCTGGCAGAAGTTCAAATCGGCCCTCCCCTCGACAAGTACTTTATTCTTCTGGTCATTCGCTTATCGTGCTCATATTTTGATGCTTCCTCTAGGTTCTGTCGGGGGGCTTCAAGAAGAAACAGGGCGCCTACACCTTCTTTTCGGAGGAGAAGGGTCGCTGCGTCTTCTGTCTCCTCCTCCATCTTAACTTCTACGCATGATCCCTCATCCGTTTCGTTCCACACCGAGGATGAGGAGGTTTCTCTGCATGAGCGGACTTGAGACCTCGTAAGATGAGAGCCGTGGACATGGGAGAGGGCGTCCCTGCGAACGTCGACTTATATGAGGGCGAGATCACGATACGAGAGACCGCGACTATCTCCATCGAGGAGGACGTTGGAGCGGCCTTTGAGGTACCCAGTTTAGAGGAGATCAATGCAGCTGTATCTTCCCGTACCCAAGAGGAGGCGGTTGCAGAGGGTGCGTCTGGTGTCGACTCTACGCTTCCCGAGCGTGATGAGGCCTCATCTTCTAGACCGGCTAGGGCTTCTCCTGATGATGTGGAGACAGGAAAGGGTCCTGTTGAAGAAGATGATGAATCCGGCTCTGACCTCAACCCTAAAGACCTTAAGATGATCGACAATGAGACTACTCAGGTCGATGTTAAGATAAAGGGAGGATCAAAATGAATCGTGATTTGTTAAAGGACACTGAGAATGTGGTTAATGCCCTCGTCCCTCTCTGCTCCGAAGACGAGTGTGTGACTCTTCGAGAGCTGAGAGATAGCACCCTATCGAAGAGCATCGCCGACCTCGCTCTCAAGGTAAGTGTCGTCATTTTTCGTTCTTTATTCTGTGCTTCGATTTGCCTCTAAGTCTTAATTCTTACTTTTCTTTGGTTTGCAAATTATTATTTTGGAGATTGAGAGCCTGCAGAGGGAGAAGAAGCGAAACAATATCTACCAGAGGCTGAAGACTAAGTACGAGGAGTTCCCCGGGAAGTACCGGGATGCTCAGAGGCGGATTTGCGAGGACTGCGACATGTCTTCCTTGAGGGAGGAGCTGAAGAAGAAAGATGAGGAGTTGCTTGTGTCCATAGAGCGATTCAACATTCTCGAGGGAGGGCTGAAGGGGAAAGAAGAGGAGCTCGAATTGAGTAAGGGCATGGAGGCCCAATGCAGTGACCTTCAGTGCCAGGTGGTCCAACTGCAAAGTCAGTTGGACGAGTGCCAGTTTGAGATATACGCTCTCGGGGGGGAGTCGCTGAGAAACAACAAATGCTCGAGGAGGTGGAGTCCTCCCGAATGGAGACTCAAATGAGGGCTGCAATTTTAGAGTTGGGGAATAGAACCCTTCGTTCTGAGCGGGATATTATTTTGTCAATGGCCGAAGCTAAGAAGGCCAGGCTTGAGGAGAGAATTGGAGAGTTGGATAAGAAGAACTCCGAGCTGCTCAAGCGAGTTTTTGTTGTTGAGGCTGAGAATGTCCGATTGCTCGAACGAGTTTTTGCTGTTGAGGCCGAGAATGCCCGATTGCTCGAACAACCATCTATGTCTCACGCCTCTGAGTTTCCTGCTGTCTCCCGAGAAAAGTAGGGGATTGGATCCTCGCCGAAGCCCGGGTAGACATGATTCGCGAGTTGAATCGGACGGACTTTTTCTTTGAGACGGCCATTGAGGAGGCTCGCGTTAAAGCTCGTGAGACCCGCCTGGCCTGCGGCTATAATCCCGCGACACCTCAGACTGATACCGAGGAAGATGATGAGGGAGGTGTG